TGAGATCGAGACTCGCCAGCGCACTATCGCTCAGTCGAGCGGTGCGCCGGCAGTCTCTATCTTTCACGGCTGTGCCCCATCCCAGTGCACGTTCACTGACGTTTCGGCTGCGGTCGCCACGGCGACCCGTCTTACCAAGACGGCTGCTGCTGTCCACCCGCAGCAGCGCTCGCGTCGCGGTGGCCGTGGCCGCCAGGGAGGTAGGGGTGGTGACGCAGGTGGTGGTGGTCGTGGTGGTGGTGACGGTAGTCCGCCTGAGGGGACTACCACCGGTGGGCAGGAGCAGCAGCCCCAGCAGCAGCAGGACCAGCCCCAGCCGCAGCCGCCGTCCCAGCAGCACCCGCCGCAGCCGTGGGCTCGTCTCCCGCCTGGTTGGCCCGGCACCTCCGGAGGCGGTGGCCGTGGTGGCGGCCCGCGCAGCTTGGCGTCTACCAGCGGCTCCAGTGCTGTGACCTGCCAGTACCAGCTTCAGACAGGGCCTCTCCGCGGCACTCTGTGCCGCCGCCCGCACCCGACCGCCCGCTGTTTCCGCCGCCTCGACGATCTTTTTCGTCGTCGCTTTGGCTCGGCCCCGGACCTCCTTGACTGGCACTGCCTGCTCCGCCAGGGCGTGCCGATCTTTGAGTTAGACATGGATCAGATAGGTGCTGCTTTGCATGCTTTGTATACTGACGCTTCTAGTGTTGCTGGATCTTACTACCCTGTGTACTCTAGTTTAGGTGTTTCACCCTTGTGTAGCTTAGCTTCCCCTGCTGCGTCAGGCGTAGGACTGCCTAGGTTGCCTAGCCTAGCTTCTGCACCCGCCCCGTCCCCGGCTTCTGCCACTGCCTCGCTGTCCTTCACGCTCGACTCCGGTGCTTCTGCCTGTTTCTTCCGTGACCGGTCCACGCTCACGCCGCTTGCTGCACCTGCGGTTGTCTCCCTCGCTGACCCCTCTACCGGTCCTGTCGACGCTCGCAGTTCCACTTCCCTTCCCTGTCCAGCCGTTCCCTCGGGCTCTCTTACAGGCTTCCACGTTCCCTCGTTCTCCAGGAACCTGATTGGTGTCGGCCGTCTTCAGGACCTCGGCGTCACCACCACGTTCCCTGGGCACGAGCGGTTCGCTGTCTGTACCGAGGCAGTCTCAGGTTCCCCTCTTGCGACGTTCCCCCGGGACCCGGTGTCTGGTCTGTTTACCCTCGACACCGCTTCCCCCCCGGTTGGTGCGTCCTCCCAGGTCGCTGCAGCTTGCTCGTGTCGGTCCCTCACTCACCCGTCCCTTCTCTGGCACCACCGCTTAGGTCACCCTGCTCTCCCCCGTCTGCGTCACATGTCTCAGCACGGTCTTGTCTTAGGCCTCCCTGCGTCGCTCCCTGCCCTCCCACCCTCGACTGCGCCACCGTGCACGCCTTGCGTCGAGGGTCGGCTCCGCCGTGCTCCTCACTCCTCCTCGCTGCGTCCTGCTACTGCCCCCCTTCAGACCCTGCACCTGGACGTTTGGGGCCCTGCCCCCGTCCCCGGACCGCGCGGTGAGCGCTACTTCCTTGTGCTCGTCGACGACTACACGCGCTACACCACGGTGTTTCCCCTGGAGCGGAAGGCCGACGTGCCCGACGTTCTTCTCCCGTGGGTTGTGGCTGCGCGTCTCCACCGCGGTCTCCCCGTGTTGTGTCTCCACTCCGACCGTGGCGGCGAGTTCGCCACTGGTCGGCTTGGACAGTTCTGTCGTGCGGAGGGCATCACCCAGTCGCACACGTTGCCGGACTCGCCACAGCAGAATGGGGTTGCTGAGCGCCGCATCGGCTTGGTCATGGAGGTCGCCCGTACATCCATGATCCATGCCGATGCCCCCCATTTTCTGTGGCCGTTCGCTGTTCGCTACGCTGCTCACCAGCTTAACCTGTGGCCACGCTCCCAGCGGCCGCAGGTTTCGCCGACCCTCCTTTGGACCGGGTCCCCCGGTGACGCGTCTGCGTTCCACGTCTGGGGCTGCCTTGCTCACGTTCGTGCCTCTGGCACGGACAAGCTCACTGCCCGCACTGTCCCCTGTGTCTTCCTCGGTTTCCCCCTGGACTCGTCTGACTGGCTCTTCTATCACCCGGCGTCTCACCGCTTCCTGCACTCTCGTGACGTCACCTTTGACGAGTCCGTCTCCTTCTACCGCCGCTTCCCTCACCGAGGTCTCCCAGTTGCCCCCCCCCTGTTCCTTGCTCCCTCTCCCCCAGTAGCCCCTGCCCCTCTCCCGCCTCGTCCTGCCCCGTCTGGTGTCTCTCACGTCACTCCCCTCCCGTCGGTTGTCCCCGTTGAGGAGTCTGCTGACTCTGGTGGTACCCCCGGTCCGTCCTTGCCGCGTCCCCCTTCCCCGATGCCTCCGCCCCCACTGTCGCAGTCGCCGACCCCGCTGCCGCCGCCGTCGCCGTCGCCGCCGCAGCCGTCGCCGCTGTCGCCGCCGCCGCAGCCGTCGCAGCCACTGCCGCCGCCGCTCTTGGCCCCTGGGGTTGCTGGTGTGGAGGAGGGTGTTCGTCCTGCGGCTTCTGGGGGTGCCGCTGGTGTTGGAGGGGGTTCTCGCTCTGGGGGTGTTGGTTCTGGGGGTGCTGCTGTTGAGTGTTCTGCCGACGGTCGTTCTGCCTCTGCTGGTCCGAGAGTTCCGGCCCAGCCGTCGTCGCCGCCGCAGCAGCCGTCGCCGCCGGTCTCCGCTCTCCGCCTGCTCGGCCTTCCCTCCCCGGACCGCGCGCCGGTGTCTCCCCCACCGCCTGCTGACCTTCCTGTCTACGGTCCTGTGTTCCCGCCGCCGGACTCGTCTCCGGCCCGTCTTCCTCCTCGTTCCCCTCCTGTGTCTCCTCCGCTGTCCCCTGACCCTACCCCCCCGTCTCACGTTTGGGCTCGCCGTCCCTCCCGTGCTCGTCCCGTCTCTCCTGTCCTGCCCTCCCACCCTATGTTGCTCCGTTCCCGCTCGTCTCGTCCTCCCCTCCTCCCGTCCCCTCCTCCCTCGTCCCTTGCTGTTGCACCTCCTCTGTTCTCTGACTACCTCCGTGCTGCTCGTCCCCTTGTCCCTCGGGTCCTTGCCTCTCTTGTTACCGACCCTGCTGTTCCTGTCTCGCGCCTTGACGCGCTTGTCGCTGCTGTCGCTGACTTCGCCTCTACCCGCCGCCTTGACTACGCTACCGCTCTGGTCTCTGACCCTGCCCGTCCTCCGTCCGTCGGGGGTGCTCCTGCCCTTGGCAGTGACGTCCTAGAGGACAGGCAGTACGAGCTGGCTTTCCTTTCCGAGGCTGCTCCCCATCTCTGCTCCATGCTGTTAGTCCCTGAGGGTGACCCAGACGCCTTCGACATCCCGACCCCTCGCACCTACGCTGAGGCCACCTCGGGACCTTGGGCCTCTCAGTGGATAGCTGCCATGGAGCAGGAGATGGCATCTTGGAGGTCCACCGGCACTTACGTCGACGCAGTTCCCCCGCCTGGGGTGAACGTAGTCGATGGTCGGTGGCTCTTCAAGGTGAAGCGCCCCCCTGGAGAGCCGCCTGTCTTCAAGGCGCGCTACGTGGCTAGAGGTTTCAGTCAGCGCGAGGGGGTTGACTTCTTCCAGACCTTCGCCCCGACCCCGAAGATGACCACTCTTCGGGCGCTGCTACATGTAGCAGCGCGACTACGAGCTTCACTCCCTCGACTTCTCTACTGCCTTTCTTCAGGGCAGCCTACACGAGCAGGTCTACCTGCGCCGACCACAGGGCTTCACTGGTACCTTCCCTCCTGGGACCCAGTGGCTTCTCAGGCGCCCGGTCTACGGCCTGCGTCAGGCTCCCCGCGAGTGGCACGACACGCTACGTGCCACGTTAGCAGACCTGCAGTTCTTTCCGTCCTCTGCTGACCCTTCACTGTTTGTGCGTTCCGGCCAGACTCCGTTCTACATCCTTGTCTACGTAGACGACCTGGTCTTCGCTACTCCTGACAGGGACGCACTGGCCTCTGTGAAGGCTGAGCTGCTGAAGAGACACACCTGCACTGACCTTGGAGAGCTGCGTCGCTATCTTGGCCTGCAGATCTCTAGGGACAGAGCAGCACGCACCATCACTCTGACCCAGTCACACTTGGTGCGTCAGGTCCTTCAGAGGTTCGGTCTTCAGTTCTCCTCTGCACAGCCCACACCTCTACCCGTAGACCATGGGCTCTCTGCTCCCGTTCCTGAGGAGCCAGTAGAGCCCAGTGGCCCCTACGCAGAGCTGGTGGGTTGCCTTATGTACCTGATGACTTGCACTCGCCCAGATCTCGCATACCCTCTCAGCATCCTGGCTCGCTTTGTGGCTACAGGCAGACACCGACCTCAGCACTGGTCTGCCGCTAAGAGGGTTTTGCGTTATCTTGCTAGTACATCAGGCATGGGGTTAGTGCTAGGAGGACGCAGGCCAGTGGTCCTTACTGGGCACACAGACTGGCCTTGTGGCCTTACCTCCAGTGGCTGGACTAGTAGTGCCACCCTGGCTTGCTTCAGTTTTGGTTGTATTCTTGCTGACTGGTCTCCAGACCCCTGCCTCAGTGGTTGGACTAGTAGTGCCGCCCTGAGCTGTTTGCTTCTTGTTTAGTTTCACCCCTTGTCTAGCCTAGGGGGTGTGTCAACTTATACATATTATCTATGTAGGAGTTATAGGCTAGACTGAGGTATGCTTCTAGTGAGTACAACCAACTAGTATTTGTTCTAGGTTTCCACTTTTTGTTATCATTTCGTTTCTACGTTAACATGAGCGCCACCGCCGTCAACTCCTTGATGTTTCGTTCGACCTATGACGACTGCACTGCACACTCCTCTGAAAGACGTGTCACAATATGAATATTTTTTTAGGAATAAAAAATTAACAGATTGTGATTCGATTTGAAGAGGAGTTTTGCTGTAAAGGAGACAAGCTCCTTCACATTCTCGCAGGTCCGATGGACCTGCCACCTAGTCTCATTCTCATTTCTCTTCTCTGATTGCTCCCACCCCCCTCTCCCATTTTCCTAGTCGGCATCTGCCTGTTTAGCTTCGTCCTGTAGAACATCCATGTACTTCTAACTATGAGTGTTCTGTATCATTGAGATATGAAATGCTATGACGACTGCACTATGACGACTGCACTGCACACTCCTCTGAAAGTCGTGTCACAATAGGGGGGGTGCTCTCCTGGAACCCTCAAAAAGGGGGTGTATAATTGCGGATTCTTCAATAGTACACCCTCCCTGGATATAACACCAGGGGGGGCTCAATTCCGGCGGGTGTTATATCTGGGGGATTACGGTACAAACATGTGACACGGCAGGCGTGCTGTGTGATGCTGCAGAAAAAGGCAGAAATGGATGGCAAAATATGTAACGCTATGGAACCACGGCCCGGATGACAAAACATACCAATGGGTTGTTTCAGTATCCCTTCCTCTTCTCTCACCCGTCCCTTACCACTCGGACACTGTCAAACCCGTAGCTCTTGAGCTCCCTCATGGCCTGCTCCTCTATCTGTATGCTGCGCAGCGATGACGCCCGCACACCGCCCTCCATCCCCTTGTACCACCGACTCTCTGCTTCAGCGCTAGCCGACGCAAACCCGCCAGCACCACTGGTGGCAGAAAAACCAACACCAGAATACGTGCTTCCACTGCTGCCAGAGGCACGCTTACCGGAAGCTGAACCATAGGGAGTGGTGGATACGGCTGGAGAAGAGCCGCCAGAGAAGCGACTAGGTGAGGGTGAGGGGGAGGGGGAGGATGGGGAGCAAGGGATGGCAGAAGTGGCAGCGGGCAGCAGAGGCCCCGCTGCTGTTGCAGCACGGGATGGAGATGCAGCGAGCAGAGCGGCAGAGGGGCTGCCCCACGAGCCGGGCTGATGGGAGAGCCGACGCGAGAGCTCCTGGTGGTGGGTGCGGGGAGGGGCAACGGACATGGGGAAGGCAGCAAGGCAGGCAGAATGAAGGGCGATGAGAAACAGCTCAAAACAACCCAGGAAAAGGAAAAACACAACAAGTTGCCAAGGGATGCTTGAGGGGCAAGCAGCAACACAGCGGATTCAGCAAGAAGTACGAGGACATTCTTCAGCAAAGACCAACACACCTGTTGCTGCTGAATTTCCACAAGTGAAACAGGTTGAGCTGCACCTCCTCTTCCACCCTGCCCACCCCTGGCCGAACCCCTCCCTATGGTCATCCCCTTGCTGCCTCGTGCCCCTGGCTCATCTCCCACCCTGCCCTCTCCAGCGCGTCCCTTGGCCCACGGTGCCACGGATGCAGCCTTCGCCCCGCCACCAGCACCAGCAGCAGCAGCAGCAGCAGCAGCAGCATCTGTGTGCTGGTTCTTGTGCTGACTGGACGCCTTGAGCAGCTCCCCCAGTGACACCCTGATCCCCGCTGTCACTCCGCCACCCTCACCTCCCCCCCCTCCCCCCGCTCCCTGTACCACGCCTTCAGCACCTCCTCCCAATCCCACTGCACCCGGTCCCCGCATCCCCCTCTCGCGTGTGGCTTGCCCTGGGGACGCACGGTGAGAGGGGGGCACGGAGACGAAGCCCAGCAGCCCTGGTGCACTGCCCTGCTGCCCCTGCTGCCCCCTCTGCCCCTGCTGCCCCCTCTGGCCGCTGCTGCCTGTGCTGTCACTCCTCCCTACCGCACTGGCTGTACCTGTGCCGGCCATGGTGTTGGATCCGCTGCTCGTAGCGCCAGAACCAAGGGCAGCAGCGGTGCCGCGTCCAGAGGTGCGTCCAGGGGTGACAGAGAGAAAGAGGGGTGTAGCCTGCAGCTCGGCCTGCCTGCCCTGTTGCTGAGCCCCGCCTTGCTGCTGCTGCTGCTGCTGCTGCTGCTGAGGGTGGTGCCGGCGGTAGGAGGGGTGCTGCTGCTGCTGCTCGCTCTGAATGTCACGCAGGGAAAGGGCAGGTGAGGGCACACCAGGCAGTGGAGCAGCATCAGGCGCCGCTGCCGGAGCAGGCTGGCGGGCAGTGATGCCCCATGCAGGCCTGGCACCTGACGTCGGGGGACAAGGCCCCACTCCCCCCCCGCTGCCACCAGCAGCCGCAGCCGCCGCAGCAGCAGACATAGCAGATGGGGCAGAAGTGGCAGCAGCAACACGCTCCAGGTCACCAGCGAGAAACAGGGAAAGGCCACCCTTGCGCCCCTTCTTCTTCGCCCCCTTCTTCCCACTGCCGCCACTGCCACCACCGCCGCTGCTGCTGTTGCCCCCGTCGGCACTGGCGTCAGCAGCAGTGCCTGCCTTTGCCACTGACTGGGAAGGTTCCTTAGACGATCCAAACGACGGGGAGGCAAAGAGGGCTAGACCGGGGGGAAGAGCGGCAGGCAGTGTGGCTCCCAAGCGTCCAGGTGCGGTATGGGAACTGTCCGGTCTGGCAACAGGCTCGGAGGAGCCAGGTGTGGACATGTGAGGTTGGGAAGCAGCAAGTGGTTTGTCTGCTGGCGAAGAGGCTGCCGCTGCATGCAACGCCTGGTGGAGGCAGCAGGGGGCACGGTGAGATGGGGGAGAAAGGATGGTGGGGTGGGGTGTGTGTGTTAGGCATTGGGGCGAGTGGGAGTGCAGTGAGCAATGGTAGAAACAACTGAAGCAGGGTATGTTCAACAGAGGAAGCAGAACGAAGAGTGGCGTGGGTGAGGGGACTGATTGGTCTTTGAGGTTTTTAAGAAGGAAGAACAAGAGAAGGGAACCAAAGGCTCAGAAGGAAAACCAACTCACCTTCTCCCTTTCTTTGGCCCCTGGTTGTCCAGCTGACAGCCCCTTCCCGCCTTTCTTCCCGCTCTCGCCCTTCGCTGCTGCTGCAGCTTTGCCAGCCTTGACGTCACCGGTCTTGCTGCTCCGAGCAGGGCTATCATCATGCACTGCCGCACTCCGGCTCACACTCCCATCCACACCACTGCCAGCCACCACATTCCCAGCACCAGCACCAGCAGCAGAAGCAGCCCGAGCAGCAGCAACAGCAGCAGCAGCAGGCCCCCCGCCCTCCAGCACCGCAAGCACCTTTTCCAGCTGCGCCTTGCTCGCCAGCTTCGCCCTCTGCTGCGCATCCAGCACCCCCCCCCCTCTCCTCCGCTCCTCCAGCATCTCCACCTGCTGCAGCTTCTTCCGCACTGCCCTCAGCTGCCGAGCCACCTCAGTCTCGGCAGCTGCGTCAACACCCGAGCCTCCGCCGAACCTGGACGAGATTCCCGAACCTGCGGTAAGGCCTGGAGGGAGGACTGTGCTTAAAGGGTGGCCGGAGAGGGGGAGGGAGGTATGGCGAGCCATGTGGAGGGCAGAGGCGAGGTGGGGGGAGGGGGTGGCATGGCAAGTGGTGCTGGTGGCGTGCGCAGTGGCATGGGGGGTGGATTCAGAGACATGGGTCGCATGCTGCGAGGGATACAGGTGGTCTGTGTACTGCTGGTGCTGCCACTGCTGATAGTTCGGCAGCAAGCTGTGCTGCTGTTGCTCAAGGTCTAGCTCCTCTTGCGCGCTCTGCTCGCCCTTCTCCTCCTCCTCCTCCCCATAGAGCACAGGCTCGTTGGGCGCTGTGGGCGTGGGCAGAGCGCGCGAGAGAGGCAGCAGCGAGGAGCTGTAGGGGGGCGCAGGGGAAGCAGAGGCGGAGGAGGAGCGTGCGCGGGAGGCGGCTTCGAGGTTGGCGAGCACGTGGGGCGGGCAGAGGGCGAGCTGCTGGGGCGCCACTGTGGCGATGAACGCCAGATTGGTGAGCGCTAGGTCCTGGGGGAGGGGGGGATGGGGTGGAATGGGGGGGGGAGAGGCCGAGGGGAAGGGAGGAGAAGGAAGAACGTAGGGGGGAGAGGGGAGAGCAGCGGGGAAGGAGTGGAGGGGAAGGATATGAGGAGAGGGAAGTCAGAACGAGAGCGGTCTGGAAAACAATGACCGCAGGAAACAGCAGAGGCGCACAGGCTCTTGCCTTCACGCCCCACCTCCTTACTCCTCCTGCCGTGTCACACCCACGCCCCTGCTCCCAATCCAGCCTGCCTAGCCTACCACATGACGCCAACTCTGCTCCCCTCAAGAGCCCCCGCACGGCCTGCCACGCACCTGGCAGTAGGGCGTGAGCAGGGGGGCGTCCACAGCGTCCGCGACAGCCAGCACGGCCAGCACGTTGCGCACGTCCACCAGGTGCGCCGCTATCACCCCCTCGCACATCGCCTTCAGTGGCGCCACCCACCCCTGCCCCAACCCCAACCCCAACCCCAACCCCACCCCTGCCACTTCGCCTGCTCCGCCCCGCACATCGCCTTCAGTGGCCCCACTTGCGTCCATGCCTTCCCCCACCGTCTCCTCCCCCGCGCCTGCTCCCCTCTCTACGCCTGCCCAGCCTCTCCGCCTCATTCCTCCCCACAACGCCTCCCCTTCCTCCTCCTCCTCCTCGTGCTCGTCCGGCTCCCCTCCCTCCTCCACGACCACAGCCCTTCCCCTCGCCCCACCTCCTCGCTCCCCTGCTCGCCCACCCTCCACGCCCACAGCTCCAGCCGCCCCAGGCAATTCAGCAGGCAGGGCGGCGTGGGGAGGGGAGGGCAGCGGGAGAGGTGGCAGCAGCACATGTGCGACAGCAAGAGAGTGCAGCTCGCCCACGGCCACTGCCGCCGCCTGGCAAATGCCCGGCACACGCTGCACCACAGGCGACGCAGCCGTCGCCGCAGCTGAGTCTGTGCCCGCACTGGTGCCGGCGCTTGGTCGCACTGGCGTGGTGGAAGCAGCCGCTGACACAGCAGAGGAGGAAAGAGAAGCTGGGAACGAGGAGACTGAACCGCAACCTGCTGCTGCAGCAGCTGCTGTGCCTGTGCCTCCCCCTCCTCCCTCTCCTCCTACTCCTATCCCTCCTGCCCCTCCCACCGCCAGAGTGACAGCAGTGGCAGGAGTAGCAGCGGGCGTGTCTCTATCCGTGGCGTCCCACACATACACGCTGCCGCTGGCCGTCACTACCGCTGTGCGGAACTTGCCTGCTGACACCGCCACCACCTGCTGGTCCGCCAGACACAGCAGCTGGGGGGGGAGCGGGGAGCGGGGAAAAGAGAGGGGAATGGTTGAGGGAAAAGAGAAAAGAGGCAGGTAAACAGGCAGGCAGGAAGGGGGGTAGGCAGGCAGGAAGGGGGGTAGGCAGGCGGGTGGGCGGGCGGGCGGGCAGGCAGGCAGGCAGGGCGTAGCACGCACCTGGTGGCACTTGAGGTGGGGGTCCTGAGAGTGCCAGTAGAACACAAGTCCGTCGCGCGACAGCACGGTGGTGTGCATGATGCCCGCCGCCACCGCCGACAGCTGCAGCCGGCCCTGCTGGTGGAACCGAATCACGCCACCACCGCCACCACCGCCACCGCCACCGCCACCGCCACCGCTGCTGCCGCCGCCGCTGCCAGCAGCAGCAGCGCCACCTGCCTTGCGCACGTCCCGCTCCACCTTGACTCGCCGCGGCGTCACCAGGCGATGGCCCCACGTGTATGCCTGAGAGGGGAGGGGGGAAGGAGGGGGGGGGGGGGGAGGAGATTGAGGCAGGGGGGGCATTGATTGGACAGTTCGAAGGCGTGGGAGAGGGCGTTCGTATAAGGCACGGATGGGGAGAAAGTGAAGGAGAGAAAGGAGTAGGGGGAAAGAAAACGCGGACGAGGGCGGGGAAGGGGGGCGAAAGTCGAAAGGAGAGAGGGAGAGGGAGAGAGCGAGAGAAGGACAGAGAAAGCCACTCTCTCTCCCACCACGCACGCACCTCCCCATCGCCCGTGACGACCACGCTGTGCCTCTTGGCCGCGGCCACAGCAGCAATGGCCCTGCCCTTGAAGTGATCCACGATTCTTGGAGTGCAGCTGGACGTGCTGTTGGTGGTGCCGTACCCCAGCTGCCCGTGCGTGTTGCACCCCCACGTGAACACCTCCCCCGCCGCTGTAAGAGCCGCGCTGTGCTTGTTGCCTGCTGCCACCGCCACCACTCGCTGCCGCAGGGCCGCCACGCGCCGAGGGGTTGGCTGGGAGTCCACTGCTGGGTACCCCAGACGCCCCTCTGCGAGCGGGGGGAGGGAAGGGCGGGAGGGTGGAAGGGGGGGGGGGGGGCGGTGGAGAGGGTTGAGGGAAGTGCAGTGGAGGAGGGGGCGGGGGAGTGCGGACTAGATGGGGAATGAGGGGAGTGGAGAGGAGGAGGAGGGTTTGAGGAAAACGGGGGTAGGGGAGAGGGGAAAAGGGGTGAGCAAGGGGGGTGGGGCAGTGCGGACGAGGAAGGAGAGGAGGCAAAAGCCCGAAGTGATGAAAAGCAGGACACTTCAACACATCTATCTCTCTCCCCCAACTCCTCCCGTTCCCTCCCCTCCCTTCTTCTCCCTACCCGTCCCCTCCCATCCTCTCCCCTTCCCTCACATCCCCTCCCATCCTCTCCCCTTCCCTCCACTCATCTCCCTTCCCGTCCCGTCCCTCGCTCCGCTCACCCCGGTTGGACCCCCACGAGTAGAGCTCCCCAGTGGCGGTGGCGGCGAGCATGTGGTGCTTCGCGGCCGCCACCACGCGCACTGCGCGCCCGCCCACGCCCGCCATCACGCGCCGGGGGAGAATCACCGCCACCTGCCCGCTGCATGGCGGGGAGGCGGGAGGGGGGCGGAGGGCGGGAAGAGGAGAGGCGGAGGGGCCTCGATGAAAAGAGCGCTGGAGGAAAACACGGCGAGTCGGGGGGTTCGACGGGAAGAGAAAAGGAGGGAGCAAAGGCGAGGGGGGAATGAACAGCACAATATCCCCATCCAGGATCAATCCTCTCACCCCTCCCCTGCGCCAGCCCGTCCCCCTTCGCCTCGTCCCTCCCAGTGCGCACCTGTGCACGTCGAAGTCCGGGTGCCCCAGCCTGCCCCCTCGCCCAAAGCCCCACGTGAACAGCTCCCCCCGCGCCGTCACCGCCGCGCTGTGGAATCGACCCGCCGCCACCGCCACCACTGCCGCCGCCGGCCCTGCTGCCGCTGCCGCTGCCGCTGCTGGTAGTGGTGTTGACGGTGGCGCTGGGGCAGGTGCGGGCGCAGTGGCTGTTGCAGGGCACACGGAAGGCGAGGAGGAACCGGCGCCTTCATCCCCGCTACTCGCAGCAGCAGCAGCAGCAGCGGCAGCAGATGAGGCCGGCGGAGTGTCACCACCAGCACTGCTGCTGCTGCTGCTGCCAGCAGCAGGGACCGCACTGGGCGGGCAAGTAGGCGGCACCAGTCCGTCAACGCGTGCGGGGATGCGCTGAATGCGCGTGGAGCCCGTGCCCAGCTGGTAGTTCGCACCGTTGCCCCACGAAAACACCTCCGCCTGCACCTGTGCGCCCACGGGGGGGGCTGCGCCGCCAAGAGAGGCGCGCGGGGGGGGCTCGGCGGACGGGGGGAAGGTGGACTCGCGCGGAGGGACAGCGGGAAGCTCGCCGACGAAGGGGAGAGCGGAGGCGACAGTGCCGGTGGTGTCACGAGCTGCGCGGAGGAGGGAGGCGGTGGGAGAGAGGTAGGGGCAGAGAGGTAGGGGGAGAGCGGTAGGGGGAAGAGGCAGCGGGTGGGGGAAAGGGGGGGGGGGCGGCGGGGAGAGGGTGTGGGGGGGGGGGACATTGGGGGGAAGGGAGAGGACGGGTGGCAGGGAGGGGAAGTATGAGTGAGGACGGGGCGAGAGAGTGAGAGGACGGGATGAGAGAGTGAGGGATGGAAGGCGGAACTGAGCGACAGAAGATAGAGTGAGCGGGGGCAGGGAGGGAGAGAAAGAGGAAGGGGGGGCACGCCATGTACAGGTAACCATCGCTGAAGTCCCAGTCCCAGCCACGCATTCCCTCCCACGAGGAGCACTCTCCGCCTCCCACGCCGTACCTTGTGGCAGCGGTAGCGGCAGCAGCTGCAGCGGCGTGCGGCCCAGCGCGTCGAGCGCGAAGAGCGAGGCGCCGTGCGCGAGGAGGCGGCCCAGCACGGCCCAGTGGCCGAAGTGGCACGCGCGGTGCAGGGCCGTCCACCCCGACTCGCCGTCCTGGCGGGGCGGGGAGACACGCGCCGGCCGGCGACGAGCAGCGAATGGGACGAATGGCGAGAGAGAGAGAGAGAGAGAGAGAGAGAGAGAGAGAGAGAGAGAGAGAGAGAGAGAGAGAGAGAGAGAGAGAGAGAGAGAGAGAGAGAGAGAGAGACCTTGGGGGGGAGAGCGCATGTTGGTGGCAGCAGCGCGATGCGCGCAAGCCGACTGGTGCCATCCAGGGTGACACACGCGACGAGAGTGCCTGGCCTTCGCATTTACGAGCATTCAGGAGAACCGGTACAAAACACTCCAAGTCCCACCCTTCACCCTCCCCCCTTCGCGCCATAGCCACCTAAGCTCTCTCCGCAACTACCCTTCGGACGTCCCCCTCGGCCCCCCGTCCTCAGCGCAGCGTCGGGGCGGCGACGCAGCTCTAATACTGCCCCCACCACGCCCGCGTGCTTCCCTCTCCCACTCTCTCTGCTCACTCTTCCCACTCTCCCCACTCTCCATTCCCAATCTCCCACTCTCCCACGCGCACCGCAGTGTCGGGGTCGCAGCCCAGTTCCAGCAGTCGCTCCACCACGCCCACGTGGTTTTGCCACACCGCCGCGTGCAGCACCGTCACCCCGCGACCCGATCGCAGCCCGCTGAGCGCCTCGTCGCACCCCATCCGTGCCGCTTCGGCGGCGGCAGCGGCACCGCCGCCATGCGCGGAGGGCCCCTCCGCGCCGCCCGTGCGCTGGCGCCATGCGGAGATTGCGGCGTCAAGCGCGAAGACAGATCGCCTTTCAATAGCCGCGAAAATATCGGCGGGTGAGCCGGCGGGGAGAGAGGAGGAGGGCGCGGAGGAGCGGGGAGCGAGGGATGTCAGCGGGGAGCCAGGGGCGGGGGAGGGAGACGAGGCGGCGGACAGGGAAGCGGGTGCGGGATCGGACTTGAAAGAATTGCGGAATCCTGGTGACGTCATCTTCTGTGGTCAGCCGAACGTGTCGACGAAGCAGATCCGATCTAAATGGGCAGGAATCGAAACGTTTCTACGAGGGATCCGACAATTTCCGCCGGGAAACAGCGACAGCTAGAGTATTTCGGCTTTAAGAAATAGAGGCAAGAATCAGAGACTCCGAAGCAGAGGCGTCTGGATAGCTATCTCGTGTTACCCTACGCCTCCTGCAGCAGAAAACCGCGGCTTCAGGCCGCGGAAGCTTAGAATGCCAACGAAATCAAGAACCCCTGTAGCGCGGCCTTCAAGCACGCGACTCGTCAGGCGCCACCTCCGCTTGACGCGGCACGGCGTGGGATCGAGCGTGTTGAACAACGCCCTAACGCCGGGCAGGGCGGGTGGCGGTGGTGTCAGAGCAGGAGTCATGGGTGCCATGGGACTGCTCGACCCAATCCAACAAGCCTGCTCCCTTGTAGTGCACTGGCAAAGCAGAGACAGAGAGGCACATGGGGGGGATGGGGAGGAGGGATGGTGTAGACACGGGCAACACGGGGTTGCGGAAACAGAGGCTTGCGGAGTGCGCTGGTGGTAACCACGGGGTGTGCGGGAAGCTGGCGCAGGGAGTGGCTGGGGGCCGAGGTACGATTCAGTCTGATGTGGCGCATCGAGTGGATAGCAACTGTAGGGTGTTGTTCAGGAGAGAATCCCGAGACTGCACACAAGTGGGGAAAAACAAGGGCGGAATCGGAATCAAACAGAGCATATCCGCACCAAAGTAGCGGAGTAAACCAAGTCGAGGATAAACTACACCTGACTTTGTGAGAAATATAAGCAGGCCAGCCTAATGATATAATCAGTCAAACATCAGATAACGATGGCAATATCGAATAACAAATAACCAAAACTCAATAGTATTTATGTGAAATTGGAATTTGTTGGGAACATGCCAATCTGTCAGACAGGATGAGCCCGACTAGGTTGATTCGACAAGTCTGGGAATGTAACGAGTTTTACGAAAATTAGTACCGTAATCTCCCGGATATAGGCACATGTGTGCTTATATGGATTATGTTCAAAAAGCAGCATGCGTTTGTAATCGAATAAAAAATATAAGCCCATCGTTAATACGAAGGACTATATGGAAAAATTGTTACGAGACTAGGTAGCTAGGAAGCCATGAAATGACACGAGGGTTTAGCTAGGAGAGAAAGTTACGAGAGAAAAGAGATTGAGAATAGAAGAGAGAGGGATACAAGGAGGGGTGTTGTACCCTCTAAAGTAAGTTTCAGTAACACTTACCAAGCCTATAATTATATAACATATATATAATTTAACACACCCCCTAGGCTTGGTAGTAGCAGAACCCACACACACCCACACCCCCTAACCTAGCACCCCCAATTCCCAGCAGCAGTCACGAATACTCCAGCATGGCCAACCTCACGGCCCCGGAGATGGCTGTTTGAACTAGAAACTAGGACGCCATGAAAGTGCCGTAAGGTTTTAGGAGCTAGGAGAAGTAGGAGAGAGAGTTTGACGAGAGAAAAGAGAGTTTAGAAAAGAAGACAGGGATACAATGAGGGGTGTTGTACCCTCTACAGTAATGTTCACTAACGCCTATCAAGCCTACAATTATATACTAATATATATAATTTAACACACCCCCTAGGCTTGGTAGCATAAGGACCCACACACCCCCACACCCCCTAACCTAGCACCCCCATCCCCAACAGCCACGACTACTCCAGCAGGGCCAACCCCAAGGCCCTGGAGATGGCAACGGCGGCAGTCCCGGCAGCGGCGACAGCGACGGGCGACGGCAGCGTGCGGCGGCAACAGGCCTGCGGCGACGACAGCGGCGACGGCGACGGCTTCGGCTTACGACTGCGGTAACGGCAGCGGCCCCCGCCCTTTCGGCGGCGTGTCCAAACTCCGCGACAGGGGGACGACCGGCGAGAGTCAGGCGGCGGCTGAGGAGACAGAGGGAAGGGGGGAGGGGCGGGGCTTCGGATCTTCAGCGCGGCGCCATTGCTGGCGCGGCGCTTACTGGCGTGCGGACGCGCTGCAAGTCCAGCAGCAACGCATGTAGTGCACGACGGCAACAGGCCGACGACACTGCCACGGCACCACTACGACGCCACGACAGTGTGGCATCGGAGCCGCGGCTGCTCGTCAACGCTGAGACGACAGCACACAGAGGCCGCCGCGGCATCTCGGAAAATGTGCCACGGCGGCAGGCAAACAGAAGGCCGCGACGGTGGCCAAGTAAGGACGGGTACGTGGCAGAAGCGTGGAGAGCAGGCCCGGGAAGGGCATCCTGCTCTGAAACCATGTTTGAACTAGAAACTAGGACGCCATGAAAGTGGCGTGAGGTTTTAGGAGCTAGGAGATGTAGGAGAGAGAATTTGACGAGAGAATAGAGATTTTAGAAAAGAAGAGAGAGGGATACAAGGAGGGGTGTTGTACCCTCTACAGTAATGTTCAGCAACGTCTACCAAGCCTACAATTATATACTAACATATATAATTTAACAATGGCAACGGCGGCAGCGGCGGCAGTGACGACAGCGGCGGCGGCGTGCGGCAGCAACAGGCCAGCGGCGACAGCGGCGACGGCGGCTTCGACGACAGCGGCGACGGTAGCGGCGCCCGCCCTCTCGGCGGCGTGGCCAAGCTCCGCAACGATGGGGAAGTGTTACCAAGTGCTAGGAAGCTAGGAAGCCATGAATGGCGTGAGATTTTGGAAGGAGAAATGTCAAGAGAAAAGGGGTTGAGATTAGAAAAGAGAGGGGTATAAGGAGGGAGTTGTACCCTCTACAATAGGATCCAACAAGACCTACCAAGCCTAACAATTATATATATATAATATAATTTTAACACACCCCCTAGGCTTGGTAGTCACAAGCCCACCCCACATGCAACACCTCTAAGCCTAGCACCCCCATACCCTGCAGCAGAGGTGACTGCATGGAAGGAAGGCGCTAGGCCTTCTTGAGCTGCGGCGGGGCGGAGCCAGCTGGCGTGGCGAGCTGGGACCGACGCGGCGAGCTGGGTCCGACGCGGCGAGCAGGGTCCGACACGACGAGTTTGGGAGGCGCGGCGAGTTGGAGTGCAGGCTTGCTGCCTGGTGCCTAAACCAGTGCGCGGGCCACTGCCGCCCATGCGCTGACGCGACAACGGCGGCACGGCGGCGCGACGAAGCCGCCACATCGAGGCTGCCACGGCGGCACAACAAAGCCCCCATGGAAGCACGACACGACCGCTGCGGCGTCACGGAAGTAACGAGAAGGGGGGGGGGGTACGTAGCGGAAGCGTGAGGAGGCGGCCTAGCAGGGCGGACCACCGGCTCTTATACCATAACATTAAGTGCTAGGACGCTAGGAAGCCATGAATGGCGTGAGATTTTGGAAGGAGAAATGTCGAGAGAAAAGGGGTTGAGATTAGGAGAGAGAGGGGTACAAGAAGGGAGTTGTACCCTCTACAGTAGGATCCAGCAAGACCTACCAAGCGTAATAATTATATATATAAAATATAATTTTAACAGGAAGACCCTTACGAGTCAGGCGTCGGCTGTGGCGAAGAGGAGGGGACACAGGGGAAAAGGGGGGGGGACGGGGCGTGGTCCAGCATCACGCCCGTGGCTGGCGTGTGGGCGTCAGGACCGGCGACGCCTAAATCGGGGCGCTGGCCGCTGGCGACCGTGCCGTATGCGTCATGACAGCGCGACGCCACGGCAGTGCATCGAAACGGTCGCGGCAGCACGACGCGGCCGGCGGCATGACGACGTCGCCACAACATCACGACACGGCCGCCATGGCAGCGCGAGAGGGAGAGTAGGAGTGCGCGGCGGAAGCGTGGGGAGCAGGCCCGGGAAGGGCAACCTGCTCTGTTACCATGTTACAAGACTAGGTAGCTAGGAAGCAATGGAATGGCACGAGGGTTTAACTAGGAGTGAAAGTTACGAGAGAAAATAGATTGAGAATAGAAGAGAGGGATACAAGGAGGGGTGTTGTACCCTCTACAGTAAGTTTCAGTAACACCTACCAAGCCTATAATTATATAGCATATATATAATTTAACAAAAATGATTTGAACACACCAAAATGTAACTGGGTTGATTTGGGTTCCAATACAACTGTCTTCAAAAGGGGACGCGCAGAAATATCGCGCGGAATATGTGGCGAAAGTTTTGCCAGCACAACTATGCTGGGAATGAAGGATATGGACCAATCATAGGCAAGACAGCGATTGGGAAACGTAGGAATCTGGCTGGCGAGATGCTTGGGAGGGGTGCGAGAGTGCTGCAGGAGATTTGGCACAGAGTTTTCGATATGGAAGTTTCGCAACTCACCTATTTTTTAATAGTAATTCAATGCGCTTATAGGGAATAGATTTTCTAAAAAAAGGGGTTCGCATATAATGAAATAACGGATATAAGCGTGCTTGCACTCTATAAGCTCACTAGGCTTAATAAAAGGCCGCGCCTATATCCGGGTGATTACGGTATATGTGAAACACCAGAATCATAGAGGCTGCAAAACCTGGCATGTGTCGTAAAAGATATTCCAAGGGGGGAAAACCCCTACGAATGTCTACCTTATCAGACAAGGCTAAAAAATAAACCATTTTGGTCTGACCTGACATGTCGTTCCCCTGGATGTAGTATCCTAGGGAGGTACAGTGATAAAATCCATGAAAATTTTGTGATGGGTGAACTTTGTTGGAAGTGATAAAAGGACTTAATATCAAACATATTTGTATATGTTGCTCTAGCCTAAATAGGGGCATGCCTTAGAGAGTACAACACATTAGGTAAAAACTACCGTGTACCCTCCTTTCTAGTCTACTCTGCTACTCTAAGATGGTATCAGCTTAGGTTAGGTCCGCCCACCAACTTCCGCCCTAGCCCTAGCCTTAGCGTCCCTCTGTCCTTAGCGCCCTGGTGGCCTTAGCACCTCGCTGGCCTTCGCGCCCTGCTGGCCGTCCCCTACGCGCCTTGCCGGCCACATGAGCCCCGCTGGCTCCCTTCGTGCCCTCGCCAGGCCCTTTGCGCCCTGCCGGCCCCTCGCACCCCGCTGGCCCCTGTTCGCCGCCCTGCAAGGCCCTCGTGCCCCGCTGGTCCCTTACGCGCCCCGCCGACCCTCGCGCCCCGCCGGCCCTACACGCCCCTGCGGGCCCCCTTTCGCGCCCCGCCATGCTCTTCGAGCCCCGCTAGGCCCTTCGCACCCCACCAGCCCTTGCGCGCCCCGCCGGCCCCTCGCCCCCCGTTGGCCATTCCGCGCTCCTCCAGCCCTTTTGTGCCCGCCGGCCCCTTGCGCCCCGCTGGCCGTTTCGCGCCCCGCCAGCCCCTTTGCGCCTCGCCGGCCCCCTCGCGTCCCGCTGGCCATTTCGCGCCCTGCCAGCCCTCTTGCTCCCAGCTGGCCCATCGCGC